TAGTTGCCCCTCACTGCCCCTCCCCCCCGCCAGCCTAATCACGCCCAACTGCCACCCATCCCCTGCCGGCCTGGTCACCCTTAACTGCACTCCCTCCCCCCCGCTGGCCTGGTCACCCCACGAAGCCTGCTGTTCAGTCGTTTGGTCGTCCCTCACTAACCCCCCTGCCGGCCGGGTCGTAGGCAGCCATCTTGTGAGGGTTAATTTGCATACTATCTCTTTATTATATAGGATGACTTTTTTCATTGTTTGCATTAGATTATTTTAAAAGCTAAGCCATTATAAATATAGTTGTCTCAGTTGCCTGTTCCCAAGTTTGTTTTTCTCCCCCTCTCCAGTTTCCTGTCACCTAGAGATAATCACTGTTTTGAATTAGTATTTATTATTTCCATAGTCATTTTATATGTGTGAATCCATGAATATTTGTTATTATATATATCTAAACTTCATACAAATGATATCATTTTATACATATTATTTTGCCTTGTGGCTTTTTTCACTTGGTCTTACTTTTGAGATTTATTAAATTGAGAATTATTTAACCTTAATTACTATATATTAATTGAATATTATGATAATGTAATTATGCCTTCATCCATTGGTTAAAGTTATTTCCAACTTTTATCATAAATGTACACAGACTAGACTTTTTTACTATAGCAAGTTTAAAAAGTATTTTTGTGTCCTGGTCAGCATGGCTCAGTGGATTGAGCATTGGCCCATGCACCAAGAGTTCACTGGTTCAATTCCCCGATGCCTGGATTGCAGGCTCTCCCCAGGGGGAGACATGCAGGAGTCAACCAGTCAGTGTTTCTATCTTCACTCCTCCTTTCCTCTCTAAAAATCAATAAGAACATTTTTTTAAATATATTTTATTGATTTTTTACAGAGAGGAAGGGAGAGAGATAGAGTCAGAAACATCGATGAGAGAGAAACATCGATCAGCTGCCTCCTGCACACCTCCCACTGGGGATGTGCCCACAATCCAGGAACATGCCCTTGACCAGAATCGAACCTGGGACCTTTCAGTCCGCAGGCTGACGCTCTATCCACTGAGCCAAACCGGTTTTGGCAAGAACATATTTTTAAAAAAATATTTTTGTTTACCTTTATTTTTGTCATAGGCTCACTGGATAATTTGTCAAACTTACATCCAGTAGAAAATTAGTCCAATCCAGGGTCCAGACTTCTTTAGTATCTGATTATCATTGTTACTTTCAAATCTTAGAATTTTAAATACTGTTAGACATTTATCATTAAATTTTCAAGATTTTTGTTTTCAGGAAAATCAGAGTTAACCTAATATCTGGTTCCTCTTCCCACCACTGTTTCTAATAAAAAATGTCTAATACTTTGTTTTTAGGATTGAAGATTCATGTATGATATTTTCATTTTAACTCGATTTATATATTTTTTAAAGACTTTACATCTTCTGCCTCTATACATTCTAGTGTTAAAATTGATAGATTTTTGCTTTATAATAATGACTTGTTTGCTTTAAAGAATTGAATGCTTTTTTGTTAATGTACCTATGGTCTGACTGTAGCTTATCTTTAAAAATAATCATTACTAAAATGCCAGGCTCTTATTTAACTGGAATAGTTGAAGTTTTTTTGTTTTTCTATTTTGAAACCATTTAATGAGTAAGAAAAAATACGTATCAAACAGAGTATCTTGAGTTGAAGTAGTACTATCAGCACAGTGCCCTTCTGGTTTATGCTTGAAAATTTCTGGTGAAATCCTGACTTTTCAGCTTTTGGGTATAGAAAAATACTTGAAAATTTGAAGCTCTTTCTTACATAAGCATTCTGAGGCATGCCATCGTCAAGGTCCTTTAAAAAAAAATAGTTAAGCAGAATGCAGAGAATATACCTTATACCTCTGCACTACTAGTACTAATTAGTGTATAAGTCCAAGAAGAGCAGTGAATATATCTGTTTTGCTTACTATTGTATTGTCAACATTTAGTAAATAGTAGGTTCTCAATTAGCATTTTTAAATAATGTTTTGGAGTTAATATAATTTCATTTTTTTATGTATTTTTTTCTCCCTGGTTTATTAGGTACCACACAGTAGGACTGAAGGTTTAAAACCAAGGGAGCGGATTTCAGATGACATCATTATTTATGATGTTACTGATGATAATGCAGATGAAGAAAATATTCCAGTTATTCCAGAAACTAATGAAGATATTATATCTGATCCCTCCAAGTAAGGAGATTGAGAAATAACATTTATGAAAATAGTTACTTTTCTTACCAAAGAGCTAAATTCAAAAACACGTTATTCTTCGATGAACTAATATCTGACTCATGTTTGGGTTATTAAACTGAAAAATTAAGCCAAATTATTCAACCAGATATCCCTCCTCACCCCCCCCCACTCTCCTCCCCCAGCAAAAAAACTCAACAAAAAACTAATGAGAATTCTGATTTTTTAATTTTGTAGTTAAACAGCTTTAATTGATTCTTTGTGGTCTTACATCGTATGAACTATCAATATTTGTGATTAAGATACTCCCCCAAGAAATTTAAATCTTTTGATATGTGGTTTGGGGAGAGAATTTCCAAGGAAAAGGAATGGATAGAATTAATTTATTGAATTGGTCTGTAATTGGTTCTTTCTCCTATTGTTGATATAGCTGTAGTCAGTACCCTGATATTGTCATTGTTGAAGATGACAATGAAGATGAATATGCACCCGTCATTCAGAGTGGAGATCAGAATGAACCAGCCAGAGAATCCCTAAGTTCAGGCAGTGATGGCACTAGTCCTCTCATGTCTAGTGCCATCCAGCTAAATGGCTCCTCCAATCTGACTGCAGATGATCCTGTTACCATGATGGATTCCATTTTAAATGATAACATCAATCTTTTGGGAAAGTGAGTGTTCATTTAGATGTCTAAATTTATTTTCTTTCTTTGTTTATTTCATGTATTCTCTTTCTCTTTGATTGACCTTCCTTTCTCATTATGAACCCATGTAGTCTACCTTTCTGTGTTTTGGTCAGGGCTGAGCTCCACAAATGCTGTTTTGAGAAGGAATTAATCATTCCAAGAGTAGTTTTGGGATTTTTTTGGCAGTTCCTCAGATTTTCTTAGTGAAATATTTGTTTTGAATGTCCATAAAGTATATGTGATTGTACTTGTGTTTATATCAGGATAATGGAATAACATACCTTTAGTAAGGGACTTATTTTTAGCATTAAAAAACACACAGAAATTAGTAGCAATGACCAGTAATAAGAAGTTAAACATTTAATAATTTATAATATAGAGGAAAGAAAGATATCAGACTGTTTTTGCAAAACCTTTTTTCTGTAAACACTGAAGTTTTATGTAAAAGTGCTGTGAGGTCTTGGTTAACCAAATTTTTAGGAATCCCAAATACTGAATAGGACCTCTAAGATAAGAATTGGTAAGGATTCCACAGTTGCTGGAAATGTTTTGCCTTGCTAGATTGCAGTGTAATTTAAACATAAAAACAGGAAAATCTAATTGATTTCTTTTTTAAAAATCTTTTTCCTTAGGGTTGAGCTGTTGGATTATCTTGACAGTATTGATTGCAGTTTAGAGGACTTCCAAGCCATGCTGTCTGGAAGACAGTTTAGCATAGACCCAGATCTCCTGGTTGATGTAGGTACTTTGAATAATCTTAGCTGTACTGGTAGTTTGTGTATCTGTGTATGTAATTTATAAATCAGTATGTCATTTTCTTGTATTCTACACTTGTTTTTGCATTTTTAAAAAAAATAATGGTTTTGTTTATCAGAAAGATTGAACAGATGGGTTCAAGACAATGAAGGTAGGTAATCACTATCCATCTATAAATAGCAGTTCAGTTAATCCCCCTGTAACAACATATCAACTCTGTTCAACAATACTATTAAGTCTTGTCTGGACTTGTTGCTGTATTATGGTTTTCTTTAGAATAAATTTTCATTGAATAGAAATTGTTGGAAGTTACTAATAGAGATATGTGGCCAGAAAACAGCATGAAGGCACTTACTAACTTTGGGAATTAACATTTTCTATTCAAATGTATTATACTTGATATATTTTTATAATGTGTGTGTCCTTTGTCCTAATGTTCTCCTGCTTCAGTCCCCACTACCACCTCTATGAACTTGACTCCAGTGTTGTCTGGTCTGTGAATCCTCATCTACCATTCCTGGCATTAACCACCTTTCTTGTTCTCGTCCCTTGTGTAACTATTACTCCTCTTCCCCTTGCCTAAAGCTTCCTTTGTGACCTGCTCCCATCCAGATGAATCTGGTTCTCTACCCATTTTCATTTTCTGTTGTGAACATATTTCTGCCTTTTGAAGGTTTTGACATATTTTTTTTCTCCTTAAAATGCTTCTCTCATGTCAAAAGTATACAGTTTTGTCCTTTGAAGAGCTTCTCAATGAGGCTAAAAGGAATTAGTTCTTTCTTCCTCTTCAATCTTAATTGACCACCTTATCTCTCTACTCATCAGTCTGTGTGTCATAAGACTTTATCATCTTTCCCAAACATTCAGTGCCTCTCAGGATGGATTTCATTTTCTTTGAAGACTTCTTTTCCATGCCAATCTACCTTACCATCTTAAGTGAATTCAGCATCCATGTTAATGACCTACTTCAACTTGTTAACAGTAACTTGACTTACCTTCTTGATTCTATCAGTCTGAATCCCCACTCTGAATCCAGATTCCTTTTAGAATATCTGTCCCTTAGATCACTAAGAAAAAAATAAAATCCTATAACCTCTACAAATCCTTGTAATCTTCAACTAGGTTATTTTAATTCAACTTTGAAACATTTATTATACTTGTTTGTCCTCAAGACCTCATCCAGCCAACTATTTCCTATTCACAAAGGATAATTCACCTCTTCCTGGTCCTCTCATAGATGTGGAATCTCATCTTACAGGAAGTACTTCCTCTTTAAAGCCAATTTGTACACATCCCCCTACATCTTAGTTTTTCTGTCTCTATCCTTGATCTTTCCTATCTGCCTTTAATGCGTCCCCATCTTAAAAAGCATTTTGATATGTTGCTCTGCTCATTTACCATTCTGCTTTTCTAATCCTTTCACTCATTTAGAAATGAGTGGCTATATGTGTTACTTCTTTTTTACTCTGTATTTCATTTGAAACCCTGTATTATCTTCTTATTTACTCTAAGCTTGTGCTGCCTTGGTTTATCCATAGTAAGTAGGCTGTGATTTCCTGTGATCTCCTCCCCTCCCTAATTAAGGTCACTGGGCTAGTGGAAGAACATTTGTTTTGAATCAGATTTGGGTTCTACTTTTGGCTCCTCTTACTATACTAGGTATGTTATTATTAACCTTGGAAAAATTAAGCTCTCTTTCCAAGTTTCCCTATTTATAAAATGTAGCTAATGCCCAGAAGGGCTGTTATAAGAATTATAAGTAATTAGCAGTATTATTATTTATACTATTGATTTTCTAAAACAGAACTTGTTCTGTTGATTTTAGAAGCCCTTGGACCTTTGTTATCTCCTGTCACCCTAAACATTCTCCATTTCCTCTAAAAACTTCTTTTTCTTGCTGTTTTCTACTTCTACTTGGGTCTTCCCCAAAGGTACTCAGTCTTTTATCCTCTTATTTTCTATACCGCTTCTTTTTCTCTCCTTCCTCTCTGAAGGGATTTGTGCTTGTAGAATTGCTCTTAAATGTATATCTCCAGCTCTTAATACTTTTTAAAGTAAGCTTGCTTGAATTCTAAGTCCATGCCCTTAAGAGTCATCAGATCTTGCCTTAGATTCTGTTTAATACCAAATTTTTTTATTCTCTAAGCTAGATACCCTTTTTAGATTTTTAATTTTCTGTAGTGATACCAGACTTCACTCACCCAGGATAGTAATCACAGAGGCATCTTGGCTTCCTGATCTTTATCTCATCATTCAAGTCCTGAGTATTTTTCAAAATAGCATTCACAAGCCACCCCTGCTTTTTGTTTCTAATATTGGCTCTCTTACCTAGACCTTAATTATCTCATCCTTGAATTATGCTGTATTGTTATAAATAAAAAAATCCACCTATAGGTTGCTTTGTTCTATGAGATGGCAAAGATAATAAGGGATAAATAAGTATGCTGAAGAGTTCATGGATTCTCTCTGCAAAGTCCAGTTATGAGTGATCCCATGTGGAGTCGGCAGAATAGTTCTGGCCATAGAATTCAACCCAACTATGTCAGCTCCTCCTCTTGATCTACTTTTTTTTAGTTCAGACTATGCATCTGCTGGGAATACATGAAGGCAATCCTGAGTCAGTGTGTAGGAGAAGTGGGGCAAAGAATGAGTGGGGATCTTTCACTGTTGCGCCTCTTTAGATGCCTCCCTCTTTAGGAACAAAATCTGGTTAGGCCTCTAAGCTGAACTGCAGAGACTGGCAGTTTCCTGTAGCTACCTGAACCCGAGTCCCTTCCTCTTCAAAGATGAGTAGGTGATAAAGTTAATGAAAGAAAAGAAGGAGCTGGGATATCTTTAGGTCTACCGTGAATGTGGAACTTTGAGAGAATCAGTGTCTAGACAGGATAGAGGAGGAACCTGCCTGTGGCCTCTGCATTTCATTGTATCCTGTAAACTGTTTGTTGTGCTTGTTCTCTGGAAATACTGAAATTGCCAAATTTCACTGCTCCATCCACTTATTACTGTGGAGAGAATGTGGTCTTATTCCCTGACTGGTCTTGCTTTACTTTTTGAACCTTATGTACACAACTTACTATTCAACTTAGAACTTGTGTGTTATTTGGACTGGTCATCTTCTTGGTTGTTGCTAATGTTATAATGTATTCTTTTCTCCTTCCTTCCTTTCAAAGTCATTAACCATTCCCCAGGGACTGATACATGTTGCATAGCTTTCTCCAGATATTTTGTTTATTCTGTGTATGTATGTGTCTGTGTGTTTTTCTTCTTTCTTTCTCTTAACTCCTTAGTACTTTTTAGCTCCACCATCCATTATTATTATAATACGGATTGTATATGATCATATGTTACTATTTGCTGTTGTTCTTGTCTTTTAGATTGTAAGCTCCTGAAGAGCAGGAATAGTGTATTCATTTTATATTCTTTATGATGTTAATTATTATATGGTCAATAAATCCCTATGGAATGAATAACTTTGACACTTAACAATTTAAACAAAAGTTATGTCTATAAACTGCCTGGCCTGAGGAGTACAGTAAGCAGTGATTTTAGCATTTATAGCTTCCCTTGCTAGGCGAGGTGAAAAGAACCAGCAAGGAGGTATGCCATTTGTAATCTAGGAGCCACTATCAGAGAACAGATTCCATAAATTTATCACATGATTAGCAAATAGTCAGTGAAGACAGTGTCAGGGCAATAAACTTAGTCCTGGTTGGCTCTTAAGGCCCGAGGCATTTAGGGAGAATTAAAATAAAGGAAATGAAGGAGAAGGGAGCTGTGGAAAACCACCATTTGTCTCAGTTTTTTACTTTTTAGTTTTATAGAGAAACTAGACGCCCAGTACACGAAATTCGTGCACTGTGGGGGGCGGGGGGCGTCCCTCAGCCCAACCTGCACCTTCTTGCAGTCCAGGAGCCCTCGGGGGACATCCAACTGACGGCTTATTGCTGCCACAGAGCCTGCTTCTGGTTGAATGGTGCTCCCCCTACAGGAGCGCATTGACCACCAGGAGGCAGCTCCTGTGTTGAGTGTCTGCCCCCTGATGGTCAGTGTGCGTCATAGCGACCAGTCGTTCTGCCGTTCGGTCGATTTGCATATTAGCCTTTTATTATATAGGATTCTTTACAATGTCTAATTCATGGGCTAGCTTGCTCTGTTTTTTGTGTTTTTTTTTTTTTCAGCTTTCCTCTTCCCAACTTATTTTACTCTATAGGAGCTTCCTAGTGCAGGAACTACATCTCTTCACCCTACATGGCTGTATAAAAATTTTGAATACAGTTAGCTTTTTAATATTTTTTAAACTTACCATCTTTCTTGTTTGGTCTTTCAGCTTTTCACTAGTTCTGTGCAGATGAATCCCACAGATTACATCAATAATACAAAAGTAAGTTTTAATTAATGTTGCTCAGGACCCATAACTATAAGAATTTTTAAAAAGTCTTAGTAAGCATAGAGCAATACCTCTCCCAGTTACAAAGCATTTTCTATTACCTAATATGGGTGATCAAGATAGTAAAATTCCAGATGAAAAATTAGCTTTTGGTTATGGGGTGAATTATTACCCAGTTTTGCTGGCACTTAACTATCAATACCATTAACTATTAGTATGAAATCAGCCCTCAAAGTGCTGGGAGATCACTTGATTAAACTATTCGAAACTGTTAATCTAGAACTCAAATTTAATTTTTCTATGTATTTTGGAGCAATATGCATTTTGCTGTTTAACTGTATTTAAGGTATTGGTTTTCGGAATAGAAAGGAGATCCAAGAATAAAGAATGACACACTGTATACAAAAAATAAATACTATATCACATCACTAAATAAATGCAAGACATGGGTTCATTCAACTTAAGGTCTAACATTTAATAATATCATATTTACTGAAACATAGTGCTGAAATGGTCCATAGAATCTTATAACATAAATCTAGGCAAACTATGGTCCACATGACAAATTCAGGCATACTGCCTGCTTTTGTAAATAAGTTTTATTGGAACACAGCCACACTTGTTCTTTCATGTACTGCCTATGGCTGCTTTTGCACAAAAATTACAGAGTTGAGTAGTTATGACAGAGAACACATTTATATATGTACTTATATTTACTAATTGGCCTTTATAGAAAAAGTCTGCCAACCCCTAACGTAAATCATCCAAAGTGAATGTATAATTTCTGATTCAAAGTTCACAAATTCTTTCAACTCTAAATTGCCCAGGATTAGAAACTACCAAAAACAATGACACATCAACTGCTATTCCCTTGCTCATGACAGATATTATGTGACATGGATTACAATACTCTTTCCTAATAAATCAGGATACTCCTCAATACAGGACTCTTAAGTGGCCCCTACTAATGAATAAGAGTTTGCATGGGAGCTGAAACCCATTTGTCTTCCTTGTTCTCATATGTTTTAGTGGTATCCTTGGAAAATACCTATTTTAGGAAGTACAAAGATTATGGTATTATTGCTTTAATATTTATTGTGAATGCTAACTAAGAAGTATTTTAATGTAAATTTTTGGGAAGGCATAAGTTGTTATATCGTGGCGTTGTTATTCTTTCTGAATCCTGGAACTCATACTGCTTTATTTTACAATGAATATCAGGGAATTACTGGAATTAGTGTGTTTGTTACACCATATGTACCTAACCAGCATCAGCTATCTGGGATTTACAGCTATTGAGGAGAAGTTGTGAACCTCTCCACCTCACTTTGAATATCCTTGAAAAGAGCATTGAAGAATTTAACAGCATTAGTGACTTAATTCCCTTACAATCATATGTAAGGAGAGAAGACATCACTGGTTGAAAGAAGCAATTTAAATGACAGAAAAGAACTGAAAGAGCCACATGAAGGAAATGAAGAACCACTGCAACTTTGAGGCTTCCAAATATAGAAATAAATAGTTTTAGGATGTCGTCGTGTTACCTTCAACTAATCTAAATGTGTTCATTTACTCTGTGAAAGAAATATGTAATACATTTTTAATGAAAACTTTAAAATTGGTTTGTTTCAAGAGTGATCTCTTTATTAGAAGTTTGAAACCAGCCATCTTTGACTTATTCCCATCTTTTGTCCTTGACAAATTCTGTGTTTTCTGCTGTTGAAGTGCTCCCTCTTTTTCATACTATTGCCATCCTAGTTCAGGATCTTTGTTTTATCCACTTGATGACAGCAATAGCTTTTTAAATCAGTCTTGTTTCCTCTACTCAAATCTCTCTCTAGTGCATCTTTCCTGGTGCTCCCCCTTCCCATATATGTCAGATAATATACCAATATTCACATACAGTTTTTTTATTTTTTGCTATTTTCAGGAGCATGAAAAAGTATTTTTGTTATTTTTCTCTCTTTTAGTCGGAGAATAAAGGATTAGAAACTACCAAGAACAATGTAGTTCAGCCAGTTTCAGAAGAGGGAAGAAAATCTAAACCCAAAACAGGTAGGTGTAAATGTAGTACTAATTTCTATAGAATTTCAAAAGTAAAAGTCCTACGTAGAAGCTAATGCATGACAATGAACTTCTTGCCATTCTTAACAATTGAACACAGATATATTGATCTCAGTTCTCTGCGTAATGGTTCCAGCATACAGAGAAAATTGAATTGGTGAGGTAATAGTTCTTAAAATTTTAAGTTGTGTGTGGGTTTTTTCTACTTAACTTTAGAAAGAACCTTCATTTCTTAATTATTGAATAAAAGACTAACTTTTCTGACTTGAACATCTTTTAATTTACTGACAAATACCTTATTTCTTATTTTGTTGGGTTAGTGATTACACATAAGTAGATCTCTGTTTTTGTATTTTCCACTTTCATCTTGAACTCTGTATAAGCTGGTGATAAAAGTGCTTTTTTTCTAATCATTGTTATAGATAAACAGCTTATCCAGTACACTGCCTTTCCACTTCTTGCATTCCTTGATGGGAACCCTGCTTCTGCTGTTGAACAGGGAAGCACAGCATCATCAGAAGTTATGTCTTCTGTAGATAAACCCATAGAAGTTGATGAGCTTCTGGATAGCAGCCTGGACCCAGAACCAACCCAAAGTAAGCTTGTTCGCCTGGAGCCGTTGACTGAAGCCGAAGCTAGTGAAGCCACACTGTTCTATTTATGTGAACTGGCTCCTGCACCTCTGGATAGTGATATGCCACTTTTAGATAGCTAAATTTCCAAGAAGTGGACTCTACATGTATATATTCATCAAAATGATGAACTATTTATTTTAAAGTATTATTTGGTACCCGTTTTTTTGTAAATTGCTTTGTTTTGTTTTAATTGGATACTGTGGAATCAAAAGCACCTTTTGCTTTTCTCACTAACCACACAGTCTTGCAAAGCTTTCAGATATTACTCAGCTATATAGGTACACAAAGTGTAATGCACATTATTGCGTATCTTGAAGTTGGATTCAGGTGGGCATTTTTTTCTGATTGTAGTAAATTTGAATTATTTTTTATATATATATGCCCATTAACCCAGGTTAAACTTTTGTTTGTTTTACTTGTTTGATGCTGTCTGTTGGCATTGAGTGTAAGTCACTAAAATTAATGGTAGAACTCCTAAAGCTTTCTCTGTTCCAATTACTTTTACTAAGTATTTTTCACTTGGCTTATTTTTAAAACTGGGAACATAAAGTGCCTGTATCTTGTAAAACTTCATTTGTCTGTCTTGGTTCAGAGAAGTTCATTCATGTTCATCAGGAAAGGCAACGTATACATGACTGCTTGCTGTCTGATATGGTTCCAGTTCTGTATACCTAGAAGGGGATGGGACGGTGTCGGCCCAATCCACCTAGTTGGACTAGTTTTAAGTAAAAGTTTTTGGTTTGTTTTTTGAACCATAATATTTAGTAAAATAAATATGATGAATGTTGCATTCTTGTGCTTATTATGTGTCTTCTTTGGAGGTGACATCCACATGAACCATTTTTTTTTTCCTTTTCATACAAAGTAGTTTGTTGTCCTTTCTTAATATGAGTTACATCATGATCTTTGTGCCTCATCTCAAAAGATACTGTATTGCAAAAAGGGAGAAATACAAAGTCTCTAAACTTAATGTTTTATAGTTCGTTTAAAAATTATAGTGGCTTGCTTTCTGTTTCTAATGAACTGAGAGAATTATGCCTCTCATTGTTCCAAATGAGTAAAGAACATTATCACTGGATGCCACTAAGGGCCTATAATTTTTGTTCTGAGAGAAAGTCAGGTCACTTTGTCTCTTTGGAACAGGTGCTCAGAGGATTATAGACACTTAATGCAAGATAAGACCATCTCTTTTATCACTTGAAGATCAGGCAGGGGGCTGGAAGCAGTATGGTGCCTGAATATTTTATGGGGCTATTTAATGAGGTATTACACAGGTGGCTTCCCTATTGGCCATATTCTGTCTCTTGATATCTTGGAATTTCTCCTTGCTATGATGCAAAAATTCAAAGTAAAGCCTAGCACAGAGGAATAGAAAACCCTTTCTTAGCAGATTCTAAAATATTTGGCTCAGACAATGGGATCTTAGTGAACTAATTAAAGACCTCAGAATAGTTTTCTGCATAAGCTTTCTAGACGTTTTCAGGTGAAAAGGATTGACTTAGAGGAGAGAGAACTTTAGAGACCTTTTCTTTTTCTCTTCCCTTCTTCACTGGGATATCAAGTTTCTTCTCCTTGGGGAAATTTTGGAGCTGTGGAAGTATTCTAAAATGATTTTGGAAAACTTTATATCCCTTAGTAATTCTAAGTTGACATTTTAACCCCTTCCCCGGCAGAAACGTGTATACACGTTTTCACAAAATGTTCTTTTTCAGTCGTCGACGAGTATACTAAGAAAATATGGTAAAAAAATATGGTTTATAGGAAGACGAGTTACAAACTGTTTTCATAACCAGCATCAAAAATACTATATAGAACCAAAATAAAAAAATTAGTCTGAAAAAGAAACGTTTTTAACAAATAAATTGTTGGGCTGCCGAAACCGGTTTGGCTCAGTGGATAGAGCGTCGGCCTGCGGACTGAAAGGTCCCAGGTTCGATTCCGGTCAAGGGCATGTACCTGGGTTGTGGGCACATCCCCGGTGGGGGATGTGCAGGAAGCGACTGATCGATGGTTCTCTTTCATCGATGTTTCTGACTATCTCTCTCCCTTCCTCTCTGTAAAAAATCAATAAAATATATTTTAAAAAAAAATTGTTGGGGAAGGGGTTAAGATTCAGAATGGATAGAAGGTGTATCTATTTTGTCTAATGTGAAAAGAATAATTTTTAAGGGGGATAAAGCCTTGTCCTGAGGCATCTTTTCAGGCAGATCAAGTTTAAGAAGGTACACATGAAAATTGGAGATCCGGAAACTGATTCCTGTAAAAATAATTTGGTTTGTGTTTACCAGAGAAAGTCTGTGTACTACTTGGAAAACAAATTACCACTATATGAAGACAGTTAATTTAGAGGGTAACTCCCATCTCTATCCCCCTCCAACTTTCTTTTACCTCAGAGATAAAATAGGAGGAAGCTTGTAACTTAGAGAGCTAAATGTTTTTTTCAAGGTGTCGCTACAGCTGGTCCTCCATTATGTCATTCACTGTTGTTTCGTTATAACTTTGATGTGGAAATCAATTCCCAGCTGGGGCCACTGTGTAGTTTGCATGTTCTCTCCATGTGTGTGTGGATTTTCTGTAGGACTCGTTTCCTCCTATGTCCCAAAGATATGCACGTGAGGTTAATCACTGTCAATAAATTGTCTCAGTAGAGTGAGTGTGGGTGTGGGTATGAGTGTACCCCATGATGGAAGGGTGTCCTGTCCAACTTTGGTTCCTACCTGGAGCCTTGAGCTGCTGTGATAGGCTCTGGCCACCTGCACATGAACTGGAATAAGACTAGAAAATAATTATCTTGTTTTTATTAATCTTTCTTCAATGTATGTATAGAACACGTTTCTATGTGTAATACTAGAAGTATTTGGAGTCTTTAGAAGTTTGGTGATGTTCTTGTGAACAGAAATATGCCAGATGAACTTAACAATTGTTTATATCAATTAGCCTATGATTAAGTTGGTTTTGTTGTATGATGTTTGATGAACATGTACAGAATCCTACTTTAAGAATTAGCACCTAGACCTTTGTTTCAAACAGATAGGAATTTTTTTTTTTTGAGAACTGGTTGCACATTGGGCAATAGAGCAAAATCAACCTATTTCAAGAAATTGCTATCAAACAGACTATAATACAAATAAGCTAAACTTTGACAGTTCTGAGGAACAGTGCCTGGTATTTTGTAGTGTCCCCCCATTTGGGGTTACCTGATTTTTTTTTCATGGTTAAAGTGGGGTTATTAGGTTTTGGGAAAGACTATAGAGGTGAAGTGCCATTTTCAATATATTTCAAGGTACATACTGTCAATGGTAACTTTTCACCATTAACCTTAACTTAGATTGGAATGTCAAAGAAACATTTCTATGAGCCCAAAGGTTCAACAGTATCTTCCATGCCGTCTCAAAAACAACCCAAGTGGCCATGGCGCCACTGCCTTACACACGTCGGTTTGTGTGTTTCTGTCTGCCAGCTAGATTTTAAACCCATCAGCTTTGCAATCAGTGAGCCACTTCCATGTATGTATCCTATTGGTTCTAATAACTACAGAATTAACAGCTCTCTTTATACTATATATATATCTGAGAAAATTGAGGGTGAAGGAGAACAGCTTTTGCCCAGTGAATAAGGATGCTTTTAGAGATGTCACTAGGCATCAAGACAAGGATAATTGAATACAGTCAAAATTAAACACTTTCACTCTGCAGAGACCCTGTTAAGATGGAAAGACAAAGCTACAGACTGGGAGAAAATATTTGCAAACTGCATATCTGATAAAGTACAAGTACCTAAAATATATAAATAACTCAACACAAATTTAAAAAAACAATCCAGTTAGAAAAAGGCAAAAAAGACATGACATTTCACCAGAGGACATATGGATGGCATATATGCACATGAAAAGATACTGTCCATTAGCCATTTGGGAAAGGCAAATTATAACCACAATGAGATTATAACCACATTTCCCTCAGGACAGCTAAAATAAGTGCTATCAAATGCAAAAATTCAAAGAAATTGAACTCAAGTCAAAGGTGTGACTATGAAATGCTACTGTCACTCCGGAAAATAGTTCGGCAATTTATAAAACTAAACACTTAACCCATCCACAAGGATTCCTCTATCCCTTCATCCCTGACTCTGGGGAACCAGTAACCTGTCCTCCATTTCTCCAATTTTATCATTGCAAGCATGCTATATAAATACGCCACCACATGTGACCATTTGGGATTAGTTTTTATAACCCAGCACACTGCCCTGGAGATCATTCAAGTTGTACTAGTAGTTCACTCTTTTTAAAGTAGTATTCCATGATACAGATGTACCACTGTGTTTAAACCTTCACCTGTTGGGCTCCTACGGATATTTATGTAATTTTTTGTGTGAACATTAGTTCTGGGTAAACATCCAAGAGTTTTGTAGACATTGTTTTGTGTATAATATTGGAGAAACTCAGACCATTTCAAATGAGTTATTGAATAAAATGTAATAAAACTTCTAATTCATATGGAATAGAGCATTTTATTTATTTTTATTTTTTTAGTAAAGGATTTAAAAAATACTACCCTAAGAATAAGAGAAAGAATCATCAAATGGCAACTTAGGAAAAAAAATGCCTGGAGGATACAGCAAGTATAGAATTTTCAAGAGAATTAAAAATATTCTCCAAACTAAGCTGCTCCACCTAAAAGTTCTTCAGGAGAACCCAACTTTAATCACCTTTGAGATCTAATGGTAGGGGTTACTTTCAGAGGACAAAAAGAGTAAATATCACCTTTAAAACAATTTTTCAGGAGAGGAAATGGTTAACCCTGTAGTGCAGTGATGGCAAACCTATGAACCCATTTTTTTGGTTGATTTTCCTTTGTTAAATGGCATTTAAATATATATATCAAAAATATGTCTTTGTGCTGGACCAGTTTGGCTCAGTGGATAGAGCGACGGCCTCTTCTCTGTAAAAAATCAATAAAATATATTTTTTTTAAAAATGTCTTTGTTTTACTGCGGTTGCAAATATCAAAAAATTTCTATATGTGACACAGCACCAGAGTTAAGTGTTTTTCAGAATGCTGACATGCTGAGCTCAAAAGGTTCGCCATCACTGCTCTAGTGCCAGGTTCTTTTGTACACAGGAGGAACACAGGTCTGAGTATTAAAGTCACCTAAATTTGAGCTGATAAAGAATTAATACACCACGCACTTTTTCTTAATTCATTTATTTAGAGAGAGAATACAGTCAGTCAAATCATGGAACACAGTATCAATACAGAATAAAGGGGGGATTAAGTTGAATTGTATTTCGTTTAAATTAACAAATACATTAAAAGAAGTAAATATAGATTAATGTACTCACTAATGACACAAGTAACTAAGTTTCTAATTGGCTGTTACACTGCTTGACTTTTAAGATTATAATAACCTATACATATTAATTAGGTGGCAGCAGATACAAAAGCATTTTAAACACTTTTTGAACTATATAGTATACTATAAGCAGTTTATTGTACAGCATTCCATCATTCTTGTGACCTCAGTTTAAAAGTAGAAGGCAGGCTGGACACCAGCAATCCACATCACATAAATTACCCACCAGTACTCAGGTGTAAAATCTGTTATGTGTTTTTTTTGTTAATAGAATTAAGTTTTGAATGTCAGCTATTTTGGCTTTGGACTTCCCAGCTTTGCCACTAATTAGCTATCTGAGTTAAGTCTGTGCCTCAGTTGCTTCATTTTTAAAACAGGAGGATTGGACTAGATTTTGTCTAAGTATCTACTGAAGCCTAGTATTTGCAGTTTCTTGTT